TATCATTGAGCGCTACTTCATATCAAATATTCCGTTGACGGTCATTTTGTTTTCAATACGAGATAACTTATTGAGAATACTTCATTTTTCATCATTTTCAGGTACCTGAACCTTTGCCAAGGTTTTATGAAGTGTTATGTCATAGTGTTCTTTCAAAGCACTTACCTCATTATCATGACCATTTTGATAATTTGTTCCTCTTATTTCTAAAGGAGTTTTACGTTTGGAGCCGATTAGTCTATCACACTTCTGGCGTACCATAGACTATAACCTTCAAGGACTATTTATTGGAGCATTTGCAGCTTAATTAAAATATTGGTTCATTAAATACATTTGGCAAATTACTTGCAACATTTTGGAAATGAATTATCTCTTGAACTTTCAAGTTCACATATTTTTTAACAAGAATCTAGATAATTCACCCCATACATAATTTTCAGCTGCTACACATGTCTCCCCTAATGTTAGGAAATCTAGCATTCACCCTCAATCTCATTTGAGTATCCATCTTTATGCGTGGTGGAGCAATAAAATCATATGTGCACACATTAAATTTTTAGATGGAAATTATTTGATTCCTGACCCTGAACCATGTGATGGGAGAACCTTGTTGGCTTGATGCATACATGTTAAATAAACTCATATGAGAGATTTGTTTTTATAATCAATGGTCTAGCTATAGTTAGAGGCATATAATTTCTGCTAAACCAACCAGCATTATCAACATGACTTCATAGTTTCGAACTGTGATCTTAATTCAGTAATTCGAGCAAGCCACCTTACAAAAACCAATTAGTAAGTTGATACAAATATACATGTGACCATATGATAGATGCATCTATTAAATCATAATAGTAAACGGTCCACATGGCAGGTGAACGGACCCATATTCACCTTTTTATATTTTCCAAATAATTTTAGAGGATACAATCCCAACCTTAGCTGGTACAATGATCATTTATCATGAGAACAAGCTATAAAAAAGATTTCTTGAAGAATCTTTTATTTCTTCAACATATAGCCATGTGAATTCTTAATTTATTTTGCATCACATTTGAATCGGAATGGCCAACTAATTATGTCAATTGATATTTATTCTTGTAAACTTCTAGTTTACTTTTGCATGTGATTCCATCATCATGCACATGTTTGTATACATCAAACAAGAGGAAAAAAATGGGTGATCTTATACATTAATATTTATAACCCACTTTTATTGTAATAATTTGAAGAAATTAAATATTCCTATAACTTATAGTCTCAATATATTGTTTTTTCTTTTCAATTCTTCGGAAACTTAAAAAGTTTCTTTTGAGACTCACTATAACCTCAATATTCTGAACAATTCCATTCCTTTGGATTTGTGTACTACCACAAACTTCACAACTCCATTCTTGTGGCGACCATCTCCTTCAAGGAGAATAATATTATATTGTCATGGTTAAAATGGTCACATCTAAGATTTATTTCTTGACAACAAATTACAAATTTGTTTGGTCATAACCACAACCTTTATAGGAAAGAACTATTTTTTTCTTTTATCCTTCAATAGTTCATAATTTAACATATCACAATATTTGTGCAGTACTAAATGACCATTTATGTCAAAATATTTCTTTTCAATATCTCAAACCTCCCGTAAAGGCGAGATGTTACATTTATCTAACAATTCATGGATATGTTCTTATCCATAAGAACACAAGTCACATTTTCTTTAAGAAATGAACCATAACAATTTGAACATGCCCTATAACTTTTTATTAGAAACTCATTGTTATACTTTCATATTTATCAAATTTATGTGGCTCACCTCAATATCATTTTAAGAGACCAAATGTACCAAATATACTATCATTTTGTATTCTTTCAAATTGGGTTGCACCAACTCAATATGCCCAATAACTTTTCATACCACTTTGATGACAAAAACTTACCTTCACACTTGAAGGACCATCTTAAGAACCAAAAATGTTCTTCCTTTTAATTATCACCATTGATCATTAACATTTTACCACACTCATATTTATACTTTTAACCAGTTGTCATTTTCAGACATATTATGTCCTGCTACCACATTCACATAAAATAATGGAGCAAATCAATTAGACAATATTTCATGACTTTTGTCAAGAGCATATCAATTTGCTCAATCTTTGTTACGTCGTCTTTATATAATGTTGAGACTGAAACCCAAAGTCTTACCCATAAGAAAGCATTTTACGTCATTATTTGTTGGGATCCAACCCAACATTTTATTATTGTGATGCACACGATGTATTACCCTCTTGGTGCGATAGGACTTGAATCCTTCGTCTTATTATCAATCAATGGCATGATAAATCAAATATAACAGGATTCACCATTGAACCTTAAAAAAAATATTGTCACTTTGTAAATAACATGCACAAATAATTATAGAACAAAAGAAACACAATAAAAACATTTTCAATAAAGTATGTATCAATATCTTAAAAGCAAAGTCATAAATAGGAGTAGGAAGGTTCACTGAGATGACAAACAACTACCTCATAATTCTCCATAAGATACCTCGGAAACAAAGAGAATGGAAGATATCACGAAGATCCGGGTTCGTAACCCACAAAATAATTTGTAAAAGCAAAGGGTGAGTATCAAACCACACGGTATCCAACAAGCAAACCTCTAAACACAAGATAAGAGAACAAAATACGGGAACTCCTTACACCCTATTCAAACCCCCATATCACAACCTGCATAAACAAACCCAACCTAACAGTTCACAAGTACCCAACTCAATAACAACACTCTAACAAATTACAATTCCCAATAACAACTCAATAATCCACAGTCACATGTTTCAAAGAAAATGACTCACAAGATAGCAAAACACAAGTTTAATTTCATCAATTATCAAAAAGTGTAATGCCATGAAATGCAATGTCAAATACAGTGATGCATGTCTGACCTAATGATGCATACCCTCTCTCCCTTAGTCTGTCATGGGGGACATATCTGTTCATGCATCCATTGCAGCGTGCGATACGTCCCTCGAAATATAATATCCATCGTGGCGTGCAATACGACCCTCGAAATGGTACATCTTCTTATCACATAACGCTTATCACAACCATATCTCAGATGCAACGCAAAATGACATGTTTAAAACAAATAATGAAAAATAACAATTTTGATAATAAGGCATAATTCACAACAATGCAATCGTAATACAACATCAACAAATAAGCAATAAGCTTCCAAATCACTCTAAAACATCACACAAGAAAATACACGAATTTTATATGCTTAACAAGGGTTTAGATTTTCACTTGCCTTAGCCAATCGAATAATCACTCTGGGACTTTAGCCTTCCCTTTTCATTGAACTTTCGAATCGATCCAATCTATTCAAGTATATATTCACAATAAGGTTTCGGAACTAACAACACCCACATTATTATGTGTTTAACCTTAACCTAAAAATTCACCCAAATTTATAGTCAAATTCATAATTCTTGATGCGAACTAACCTTTCAACTATCATATTTTCCAAGTTTCAAATATAAGTTTAAATCCCATTCTTTCGATATCATAATTCGAATGACATTCATATAATTTGTAACCCAATATTTAAATATCCATTTCCATTTATAAACTTGAATTATAAAATGATGATTAAATAAGATTTTTCAAAAAAAAATTCGAAGTCTCAGGAATCCAAGACATAAATTCTCACTTGTATGTTACTACTTATAATATTATAATTAGTAAAGATTACCATCATTAACCCTTTAGTAAGCATTCCACTAACTACTTGAAATTGTACGTAGCATGTATGGAAAATATAAATATATGTTAACTCCTAACTAATCAATCCTTAATTAATTTCATATAATAATTGAATTTGGTACTTAATTGGATGGTGATGTCGTTCTATGTGTTTATGCTCGTCGCAAGCACAGACGAACTGCTTTCTCCTCTTTATTGTTGTTTTTCTGAATTAATTAGTTATTAAAAGTAATAATTTTACTAACCTAATTTTTTTTATATTTCAGATTTGATCCGTTATTATTAAAAATAACCAAATTATTCATAAATGAAATAACTATAGTTAAATAATTATCGAAAAATGACATTTCGGGTTCGGGTCATTACAGTTATGGGGAAGATTGTTGGAGAAGAAGAGAATTTGAGATCGGGTTGGAGTGTATTAATGAATAAATTATTCTTTTTTGATAAAAAATAATATTTTTAAATAAAAAATAATATATTTACGCGCTTGAAAGCGAGTGTATTAACACATTTTCCAACTCAACATAAATTCGACATAACTTTCTATTTTTACCTTTATATTGTTAATTTTACTATTAAAATAACTAAATATTACTTAATAACTAATTACAATACTACCTAATGAAGGATAAAATTAAAATAACATTTTAAATATAGTCTAGAAAATTTAATAATTAGGTTAATTTGATATATAAAAATATCTCAACAATTTAATTAATTTAAAATGAATTTAACCATAAAACAGAACAATTTTCAAGACAAATTAACGTTTTCGTGTGTATTTACACAATTTCCAAGACACTTCTTTTTTCTTACAATTTCATTTATTACTATTGACTATATTTATAGATACATTCCTCAAAACATTTTCATCTCTAGTTAGTTGCCTATAAATAACTTATATTTTTTTCTTCATAAACTCACACTTCTCCTCACCCCACACAGCCATAATATTTCGGTGGCTTAGATGTACTCTCTAGTTTAGTTCATCTTTACCTACACAATTATCCAAAGCAAAACTCTTTCTTTTTCTTAAAAATTCAATCAACGTGTTTTCCTAATAAACTTACATTACTTCATTTTACTATTTGAGTTATCCCTTTTTTTCCTCCCAATTTTTAACCAGACATCTCTATCAAATCAGTGATGGCTCGTTTTGCAATATTTATGCTTTTTATTACTATGTTAGTTTGTGTTGCACCATGTTTTGAAGCAAAAACACAATCGAAAAACATGGATAATGAGAAGGTCACTAACCTTGCTTCTTCGGCCCCATACAATAATAAAGGTCATGTTTATGGAAATTTGAATCTCGACCCTAATCATCGAGCCGGTCATTCTAGCCTATCACTTAGAATTGGCCAAGGTTATGGCAACTTAAAACCTAGCCTTAGTATTGGAGCTGGTCATTCGAGCCCACCTCCTAAACATGGAGCTAGTCATTCTGTCCCACCTCCTGGAATGGGCTATGTTTATGGAAACTTGAAGTATGACCCTAGTCGTGGAGCCGGTCATTTTGGTTCACCTTTTAGAATGGGCCATGTTTATCACAACTTGAGGTCTGTCCCTAGTCCTGGAGCTGGTCATTCTGGCCCACCTGGAATGGGCCATGTTTATGGCAACTTGAGGTCTGGCCCTAGTCCTGGAGCTGGTCATTCTGGCCCACCTGGAATAGGCCATGTTTACGGCAACTTGAGGTCTGTCCCTAGTCCTGGAGCTGGTCATTCTGGCCCACCTGGAATGGGCCATGTTTACGGCAACTTGAGGTCTGGCCCTAGTCTAAGAGCCGGTCATTTTGGTCCACCTGATCCTGCAACGGGCCATATATATTGATCGTAGTTTGATGTCAGTCTTGAGTCATGATATCGGTCGATGATCGTTCAATTACTAAATGTCCAACTTTTGATTTGCAGTAGCTTGCAATATATTAAGTACAATATTATGTGACAGTTTGTTCATGGATATGTATGATCATTTATGAACTAATGATATATTTTGATGACAACAATTAAGTCAAAACAATTAAGTAAATGATAGTGGTAACTTTACCAAATTATCCTTATAAAATATAAGTCATCTAAATATTGAAATTAATAGTATAAGTAAAATTGACACTACATGATAAATTATTTATCGTTTAATTTATAAACCGAATAAGTATTATTGAACATCCCAAAAAAACAAGTAAAGACGGACTTAGGGAGTATTCAATAAGAAACTATTAAGTCATTTTTCTCGATTTGGTAGTAACATAAGCAATTCCCAAGACAAATTGACGTTTTCATGTGTACACAAGCAAATCTCTTCTTTTTTCTTACCATTTCAATTATTACTCTTAACCTAACTTGAGAGCTATGCCTCTAGATACATCTCTCAAACATTTTCATTCATAATTTGTTACCTATAAATAACTTCTTTTTTTTCATAATAAAATCATTCCTCTTCATTCCATCACTTGTATATTTTAACAATTATCAGTGGCTCATTCTGCAATTAAAATTATCTTATATATGTTGGAGAAATTCTACCTATACCACACTCAATATTACAAAATTCAATTAAGAAACAAAAAAAATGAATTAAAATATTTAAATTTACGAAGGGGTGAATTTTTTTAATAATATAAGCCTAAGTATAAAAAAATGAATGAAGATCAAATTTGATAAATTTTTAAATACTCAAAGAACTAAATCCAAAAAGTTTATAAGAAGTAGTAAATAATAAAGGTAATTTTAGCAAACCACCCTTATTAAATATAAATCATCAAAACATTTAAAAAAATAGAACTTAATAGAAAGGTTAAAATAAACACAATATAATTAATTATTCGTTAATTTTATAATCTGAATAAATATAATTGGAACGAAGTAGATAAGAAACTATTTATGAGATTTTTCTCAATCTAAAGGAGAAACATTGAGGTAATGTGACATCCTTTCTATGACCTCCTTTCCTACTTTTTTTTTCTAGATTTTTTTCTTAATTATTTTCATAAAATATTTTTTTTTAAAAAAAAGAAAGAGTAAGTTTTAGGTTTAGCAAACATAAAAATCATATTAGCACGCCATAGCTACACTTTTGTTATTCGAGCTCCATAGCAAATATTGTTTGCACTTCGCAATATATGAAGCATCAGATCTATATTAAAGTCGCATATATCTTTGATTTGCATAAAATCGCAGGCATCTGATTAGTATAAATCACAGCAATTTGTGTATGAATATTGTGTTTGCATACGTCTATGGTCTTTGTGTTTGTATATCTGCATAAAACTTGGATTCGTATACAATTGAATCGAGTTAAAACAATTCTTTTTGCATATCAAACTCTCTTTCTCTCTCTTTATACAAACACAAATTTATATATTGTATTTGATATAATTTATGTTGTATAAAAGAGAAAGAGAGAAACGCAAAAGAGAACTAGGGAGGAGAAGATTCATAATGTGTAATTATAAGTGTATAGGACGAAGATATATATATATATATATATATATATATATATATATATATATATATATATATTTGTATATATAGTTTTCTCTCACTTTATACAAATACAAACACAATTTATGCATTTGTGCTTGTATAAAGTGAGAGAGGTGAAGGAGAGTGACAAACGAGATCAGGGAGAGTGACAAGCGAGATTAGGGAGAGTGACGAGCGAGGTTCATGAGGAGAGAGGCGAATGGAAAAAATGTTTGCTACAAACTAGAATTAAATGAAATGGTGGTTATAACATTTAATCTGAATTTATAGTTTGCGTTTGTTTATAATTTTTCCAATAAAAAATTCAATCATATTTACTATTCTAATTATATTTATCGATTTACAAAAAACCTCCATCTATTTATATTTCTCTACTTAAATAATCTCTTCTATTCATTTCTTTTCAAATCTATAAAAAAACAATCTTCCATGCAAATATTGAATACTCATTTTTCATTCTTTCTTCCAGTATAGTTTTTTCTCTCTTTTTTTTTAATTAACTTTTATTCATCTTTTCCATAAGAAATCATACAATAGATAGTTATATCGTATATGATACGTTCTTTCCTTTAACGAAGATCAAAGATATATTCTTTAAAGATTCATTAAGAGAGGTTCACATTAGTTTAGTATAAATTCATCAAAATGAAAAAGAAAACTTAATTATGTTGAAATTAAAGATTCATATCGATATATGGTCATATTAGTCTAATGTTTGAATATTTCCAATATATTATAAATTCATTAATGTAATGTATTGTTTTGATTTGATCAATATTCTAAAATTTTGCTATAGTTGATAGATATATTGACTATGGAACATTTCTCATAATTACTAGATATTGTTGTGTTTAAAATCGTTCTATTATAAGCTATATGTTAGAAAAGTGATGTATCTCTTGTTCGGCGAGGATTCTATATATCTTTTTCCTCTATTTTTCGACAAACATAATTTTTTACTTATTATTATAAAAAAAAATCTATAAATTGCTACTCTTCTATATATTGTTATACACTTAAATGTCCCAAAAATTATTTGCTCTCATTATTATCCTTTATTACAAAAATAAAAATAAAAATAAAAATAAACAAACTAACAGTCTCAATATTTACTACAATCTTTTAACATATTGTCTTTTTTTTTAATTGTATTTTTTTCCTCTTTTCAATTTTGTTAAGATGAAGTTTATTTGCTTGCTTTCTTAATAATAAAAACCCAACAAATTATACTATATATTGAACTCCAACTTTAGTTAATAATTAACTCATTTTTAAAAAAAAATTTCATATTTATAAACCCTAAATATATAACTTCAAAATTTTAGATACCTTATGATATTACTATAATTTTATCTATATAAATCTATATTTTTTATTTCAAAATATAGCCAATCAAGATTCTTATTTTCATATTTTAAATAGTTATATTCTTTATTATTGTTGTAGTATCATATTTATACTTTTGTTTGACTCCATGAAAAAACTCATAGATCTGGGAGCCAGATAGAAGTTAAAAAAATATGTGCATTGATTATGTAATTTTTATTCATCTTTCTTTTTGTGACTAAAGACTTTACAAAATATGTTGTTATTTTTCTCTTTTCACTTAACTTTTTCATTAAAACATTTTCATCTCTAATTTGTTGCCTATAAATAACTTATTTTTTTCTTCATAAACTCACACTTCTCTTCATTCCATTACTTTTTATATTTTATTAACAATTATCAATGACTCGTTTTGCAATAGTGCTTTTGGTTGCTTTGGTTTTCATGTTAGTTTGTGCTGCACCACGTTTTGAATCAAGGAAACAATTAAAAAAAATCATGTTATAATAATTTCTAGTCTTTGAAACTAGTAATGTTGATCGCAAGTTTAAATCGTTTCATAGTTCTGGAATGGACCGGGGTGGTAATTCTCCTTTGAGGTCATCCTCGAGATTCGGAAGTGGTCATTACAAAAAAGATGTTCACATCAGTTTAGTACGAGTTCATCAAAAAGTGAAAGGAAACTTAAGAGAGATGGTTATATTAGTATAAATTTTGAGTGGTTTCAATATTTTAGGAATTCATTAATACAATGTACGGTTTTGATATCAATATTCTAAAATTTTGCTATTGTTGAAAGATATATTTTCTATGTTTACATTTCTCATATCTATTAGATATTGTTGTGCGTAAAAATTCATATATTATAAGCTATATGTTAGAAAAACGAAGTCGCACCTCTCTTTGGCTAAGGATTCTATTCATCTTTTCCTCAATATCTTGACAAATTTTCATATTTTTCTACTTATTATTGTACAATGATTAAAAATTTCAATTGTACTCTTCTATTTATTGTTATACTTCATGTTGGAGGTATCAAATTTGAAACTCGTTGCCAACGAAAGTAAGAGGTTTGCCTTCTGGATCGAGCTCTTTGCACCAGGATTGCACAGTGTGGGTTACCTCTCCTATGTGGTTTGCAGGATATTGCGTAGGAGCAAGAGTTTTACCCTATACACAACAAAACGGCAGCGACTACAGGTTTCCCTAGTTATAAAAAAATGGGAAGATGCACAAATACCCCCCCCCCTCCCCAAACCTATGCCCGAAATTCTAGAGACACACTTATGCTATATTAAAATCCTATTACCCCTGAACTTATTTGATAAGTAATTTTCTATCACTTTTCGGCCTACGTGGCACTAGCTTGAAAAAAAAGTTGTAATGACCCGGAAGGTCATTTTTGGAAATTTTGAATATTTGCTTAACTTGAGTTAATTAATCGATAGTTTATGGGCTAAAGTGATAATTTATTTAAGACTCTATACCATTAA